ACCATCTGGCCATTGTCTCGTGGACGCGGGGGAGTCGCTATAAAATAAAATAAATAAATAGCAAAATGTCGCCACCGCACGCGTCATTATTCAAGTGCGATTGACAGCCACTTCCATAGGCCGCGGAGCTCAATAATACGCCTACTTATTGCTGCTGAGCAACGGTCCAAAGGCTGAATTATCAACCTTGATACTTGCCCTCTCGCTTAGATTAGTAGAAGGATACACAACCTACAATTTCAAAACAAAAAGATACACTCGATTAAAAATACAGTACCCATATAATTCCATGCAGTTTGATAAATTTGTATTGTATGTGCTAATAGGTAATGTAATAATAGTATACATATTCGGTTACAAATCTTGTAAATACATATAAATATCAATAATTGTAAACTACATTCTTATATTCTTCTTGCTTAAACTATTTAATATGATTTTTATGGCACTTAACCGATCTATCTTAAGCAGATAGAATGAAATTGTAATTTTTTGAAAAATCCAAATATCTTAATGTCAAAAGTTGTCTTACTCGTCATTTTTTTTGTCCCTTATATTATATATTTCCAGTATCAACATAAGATTCATTATATCTAATTATTATAGGTACATATCTTTGACAAATCTAGTTATTTAATTAATAGATAAACTAAATCCACAAGATTTATTTATTTCGAACACCAAATACTTATTATATTGATCTCATATAAAGAATAAATCTGAAAAGTATCAAGAGAATTGAGCAGTCGTACATTTACCGGTCGACGGATTTTCTAAGACGTGTGCCGTCGTTTTGAACAACGGTAGCGAATCAAGTAAAGTTCATGAATAAATAAATTCTATAACTATTTCTTTTCAATGAAAATGTCGAATAAAATAGTGATTTATCAAAAACGTCAGTTCATTCAAAGCGGATAGTCTTTTATAAGTTTTAAATAAACATCGTTTTGGGATAATACATACAAAACGGCGCGTAGCGAATGTTTTTTTTTAATGATACGTTTTTGGTGGGACAAGGGGTGCTAATGAGTGGTGGACACCCACGCTACAGTGACTGTGCGTTTCGTATTCAATTTTAAAATATTTGCGAATTTGTCCATATGTCTCATACATATGGAGTGCTATATTGAAAGCCTTTGGAACATTTGGAAGAATAGACTTATAAAAAAATATACTTTAAACCGTGAATTAGAAAATAAAAAAGTTTAAAAAGGAAGAATGAGGATGAAAAATCAATTCTCCGATATTGGTATCATAAATAGAAAATTACAAACTGTAATAGAGGAGAAAATGTATTTATCATTTACTAACTGCTTTGCCGCTACTTGGCCCACATAAATTATAGCCTATGTCAGCCGTTTACGACGTAGCTTCCCGTAGGTGAAAGAATTTTTTAGGCTCTTAGGGAAATAGGCTCCGATACTATTGGATGTATGTACATCCAGTAGTATCGGAGCCTATTCGATGCAAACAAACCATCAAACCTTTCCTCTTTATAATAAGTTTTATGGAGCATTTCGGTAGAGCATTTTGGTAAAGGAATATAACATTTGAAATTCCATTTTGAGCTTTTCCCTATCTAACGAGCATTTACCTGATGTAATATTTCAGATATTACAAGTTATATGATAATCCTCTCTTCTTTCTTAACATTCATATGAAGTGCTGATCTCCTAATTTTGAAAAGCTTCATTCATTTGCTTAGCTATAGGTAACCATATAATGTGATCTATTATTTTCGCGTTATAGGAGTCCAGGGAAATAGACTTCAACCTTTCTCGAAGTCCAAAATGTGTACTACAGTGTACAAGACAAAGTAATTAAATACACACACTCGGTTTTCTCGCTTCACCAACGTAATGCTCAAATCTGCCACACTCACCACCACCCTTGCCTCCCTTACTTATATAAGCTTCGACTTTACAACGTAATATTCAGAACTGGCTCAATGAAACTTGACGCCCTAGGTAAAACACTGAAAAGACGCCCATAAAAAAAATCACAACAAAATAAAGCTAATGTAGGTACAACGAACAAAGGGTGTAAGTGTAAGTTTGTCAAAACAAAAGAAACTCCTTAGATATTGCTGAACTATGTCAAATGGGGTACCTATCGTTGAATAGGCATTTTAAAATCATCTTTAGGTTCCTCTTATCGTTTTTCATTTTTAAATAATAGTTTAGGATATATAACGATTTAAAGTTGTTTAACAAAACAATCTTTCTCGCTAATTTTCTTACTTATTGATTTAAGTTTTTATTTAAAATATAAACGATATACAAACAAAAAATAGTGAAAAGAGCATGAAGAACAAGTATTTTTGGAAAAAAAATAAAGCATATGTAGCTTTGAGCCGAGTTAGGTCTCTAGAGGTTCAATCATCAGTAGTTTAGACCATCGCAAGTTACTAAATAATCCCCACGATATTAACTCCCTCAATGAAATGACTAGATTGCGAAATTTACCATATTATAACGAAGTCAAGGAATCGAAATTAAAAAGTATAAAATAAAAATAAAAAATTTAAAGAAAAACAAAAAACCCGACTGCGTAAAAACGAATTAACGAATTAAACTATGAGTCGTTCTGTTCTGTATTACTTAACAGAATTCTAAACTACTGGGTTTGTTTCTTTCTTTTTAGTTTTTATTCAAGTTAATTTTTTCATGTGTTTTTTTAAATTCGTTTTTACGCAGTCGGGTTCTTTGTTTTTCTTTATATTATTTATTTTAAGTATACGATGCAATTTGAAAGTTCATATATTAGAGCAAACATGATCTGTTTGCTATGCCATCAGTGGCGTAGCGTAGGGGGACGGGGGGGCGGGCCGCCTCGGGCGGCACTTTTTAGGGGGCGGCAAAATTTCATAGTAAACAATAAAAAATATATTTTATATATTTGAACCAATTCATATTTTTAACGCAACCATATCATCTTTATTTAAATTATATTTTGCAGCGAATGGCACCACCATCTATACTGAATTCCGGGGATTCCCCTTATTTTATTTTGTACTTGGATTGTTTATGACTTATAATTAGCAAGAATGACTTCTATTACATATATATTAAGTTCAATATTGTTTATTACGTCCCTTTAAGAAAGTACGTGATGCTTTGACAATTCAAAGAAAGTTTTATTCATGAATCTTCAGTTGTGTATCTTTTTTTATTTCAACTTTTTTGTTTTTTAAAAGAAAAGCCCGCTTTTTAGGATACAAGTCCTGTGTTGCGAGAAACAAAGTACACCCAAACTAAGAACAATTATTTATAAATCACACGAAAAATTGTCCTTTGTGGGGATAGAACCACAACACTCGATCCGTGGGCAGGAACATGGCGACAACTAAATCACTCGACCAACCGTGCAGTTAAAATCTAACCTGCATTATGCAAAATAATGGTGACACTTCTTGCTGAAAAATGGTAACTTAAGTGTGATAGTTTTAATTTTTGCCGTAACATTTTAATTTTAACCACCGACCGTTTAGTTTGTAGAGGGGGACAATTGACTCTAACGAAAATTAGCTCTTTAAAGCTTAATGAGTCACAAACTGTTTACTGAACTGAACACCGACTGTTCCACAATTCCAATATTTTTACAATACCTATACAATGATGCCCCACACTATGGGGAACACGAAAAAAAATCATCCCCACTTTACCAGGTATATGTACGGGAGCTAAATTTTATTTTCTAAGTTTTACTTAAGCACTTTGTAAGTATACTCATGCCAAATTACAACTTTCTAGTGCCTAATAGTTTTAGACAGACGGACGGATATGGCGAAACTCGCTGGTTAACTACGGAACCCTAAAAATATTAGATTCCTGGTTTTATTTGATAATTAATATAACAGAATTTAATTTGAGCCGGCCGGGATTCGAACATCTCATTTCTAATCGAAACTGTCGCCATCTATTTCACGTTAGTAGTACTACATACTACTCTTTGTATACTACGGTTTTATCTATCTAAATCGTCTTTAATCAAGTGAAAACTATAGAAAGTATAAACATCCACACACTTTTATTTATGGTATACAAAGTCTTCAATAGCATTTGGTGTGGTGATTTCTAGAAAATGAATAGTTAACAATGGTTACAATAGTAATGTTTAATTCCCTAGAAAAACTTCCGTTCCCATTTTCATTCCTTTATTTGCTGTTATTCGCAATAAAATATAGCTTATGTTCATGATCGCTTGTGATGTAGCTTCACGTGGATGAAAGAATTTTTAAAATCGGTCACTAGACCGACACTACTGAGTATTGAATAGACTCTATAACTACTGAGTTATAGAGTCTATTCAATACAAATAAAAAAATTCGATTAATTTTTCCTCTTTTTAATATTAATTAGTGTAGATAAATTAAAAATTTAATGAAAACTGACACAATAAGGATTTACTTTACGTGAAATGTAACGTTTTAGTTCGTTTAAAGAGAAACGACTCTATCAAAAGTTGATTTTTGCAGGAAACAATTGGACCAAAGATAGTCATTTCCGTTCCTTTTAACTAGCATATTAAAAACTTATTTTTGCAAAGTTTAAAACTTACATATTATTACAAATACAAAAAAGTATAAATACAATATGAGTTATTTATTGAGTTTTGAAAATTAATTTACTTTTATTCATGACAGAAAACCGGAAAAGTTGTCATGGTGAAACCAAGAAAGTACCGTAGCGACATCTAGTTTGATTTCGGGAACTAATGACTTTTTTTAAATTCTTCCTTCCTCATTACACGCGGTGCCATTCAATTATAATACTATTCTTTGGTGCCATTTCTCCCGTAATTTGAATAACATGCGCTTCATAAATTGTTGACAATATAATATTATTCACCAATATAAGCAAGAATCATGTACATACCTTTGTATCCATTCAATCATAGAATTAAGAAGAGCAATTTAAATACATTATGTTACTAACAATTTGTTCTGCGTAGATTGAAACAAAGAATGACATGACGTTTTTGACAAACAAAAGTTTGACAATTCGGATCGTTGCTTCTGTATCGTGACTTTCAGAAACTGGGTTTTTATTTATTATATTTAAATTACAATGTAAGTATTTATTCCTCCGTAACGAAGTGTATGTAATGAATAAAGTATGTTTATAGTGTAAAGTACAAATACAAGCCTTTTTCGTCACCAAAACAAAAAGACTCCTATAGAGGCAGTATATCCTAAAAATCATTACTATTCGATCTGCTACGTGTAAATAGTTACAAGATACTGTATACTATACTGTACTTATATGAAAAATACGTCTTTTTCAGTAAAATGGCAGCGTCTGTAATAAACACATATGCCGACCCCAGCATGCCTGAATGGCTAAGTGCACCGCATAGCACCGGCACCTCGATCATGGCGTGTGAATTCAACGGTGGTGTGGTGATTGGCGCCGATTCTCGCACCACTACAGGTGCATACATCGCCAACAGAGTTACCGACAAGCTAACTCGTATCACAGACCATATCTACTGCTGTCGCTCTGGCTCAGCAGCAGACACACAAGCTATTGCAGATATCGTTACATACCATTTGAGTGAGTACTATTTTATTATATTGGATGAATTTTACATTCACAATGCTATACTGGAGAATATTCTTAATAAAAATTCTTAAAAAATTTGCCCCTGGTGCTCTAAGGTGGGATGAGATCCCGAAAAGAAACTATACTGGTTGAGTAGAGAGACATATTAAAAAAATAAAGAAAGAGATATTAAAGAAATAAGAATGACAATATTCATAAAAGTATATATGTATATTGTACAAATCAGAATACAATTTCAGAACAGTGAATCTAGCTTGAGGATATGTTCCTTGACATTTTTGACAAAGAACTCTTGTGATTGTGTGTGTCTGATATTTATTGATCTATTTCTCCTCATTTTATTGATTTTGATCCTATGGCACTTGCACTTAGTAAAGTGACTTAATGCAGAAAAGATAGATAATATAATAATAATATGTCCTTTAAAATCTTCAACATCACATACATTGCTCACATTCCAAGATGAGTAGCCAAAGCCCCTATCTTATGGAGTATCTGAGACAACGAAGGTACTACAACATCTAGGCCCAAGACAATATAGAAAGGTCCATTTTATACATTGACCCAACCGGGAATCGAATGAGAGCTCAGAAATGACCTTGACAGTGACACCTTGAAACCGGTGTGCTATCCACTCGGCTACAGAGGTCATCAGTAGATTGTTTTCAATTTGTCTAACATTCTTCAAGAAAACAAGAACCATAAATCTACAAAAATTGTCTTTCAATGATAAAATTTATAAATCATAAAAATTAACTGTATATTTTCAGATTTTCACAAAATGGAACTTGGTGAAGAACCATTAGTGCAGACTGCTGCTGCCATATTTCGTGAACTGTGTTATAACTATCGTGATTCGCTAGTTGCTGGTATCTTAGTTGCTGGCTGGGACAAGAAGAAAGGAGGTAATGTTATATTTTGAAATTTCTACTTGTATTATATCATGGAGTGTATGAAATTACAAAGGTACCAAAATACGCAAACCCTAGACAACATAGAAAATCAAAATATCTAGATATTAAAATAAAGTATAAATTGGTTCTTCTACTTAAAGATGCATATTTTTAAATTAAACATATGTCTGCCCATTTAAAAATTCACTACTTGTTATTGACATCAATGCACCACGTATTTATATTTAATGTTGATATCTCATGAACGTCAACAAATAAAACATTTTTGAAAGACCCTGTTGTGAAATGAGTGTTACCAAGAGCACTTCATACAACGACCTGGCATTACATATCTCTTTCACTTCTGTGCAAACAAGTTGCTATTGCACTCACACAGATGCATCTAGCCATAATAAAGTGAACTAAAATGTTTATAATATCTATCAGTGGTCACAAAGGTCAACATACAAAATAAGTGTTATAGAACTAGAAAAATTTTTGTTCTACTTTCAGGCCAAATTTATTCAGTACCCATTGGTGGAATGGTGCAACGCCAAGCAGTATCTATTGGAGGTTCCGGTTCTTCTTATGTTTATGGCTACGTAGATGCTAATTTCAAACCCAACATGAGCAAGGAGGAAGCTGTCAAATTTGTTACCAGTACTTTGACACTGGCTATGCTCCGTGATGGCTCATCAGGTGGTGTAGTAAGGTTGGGAGTGATCACAGAAAGTGGTGTTGAACGCTCAGTTGTCCTCGGTAACCAGCTACCCAAGTTCTATGAGGGTTGAATATTTTTTTGTAATTCAGTTATTTTAAGATAATAAATTTTGGATAAAAATATTTAATTTTTTTAATTAGTGTAGAATGTCCTTTATCTGATATATAAAAATTCCACTATGATCAGTAACAAATAATAAGTATTATGCATCTGATTCAAAAAAGGGTTAAATATATTAATATATATAGTCTATGTAAATGTTTTTCAACATCAGTCAGTTATGGTTTTGAACATAATTATTACAAAATGCAAAAAAAAAATTGCTAACGTCAAACTATTCTAATGGCTTGCTACTTTTGTTTGACGTCACGACAAGCGCCCCAAAAATTCCGGCGTTTAAACTGCTTGTAGTTGTTACTTATTACTTATTTATTATTGTTACTAAATTTAGTTATTTAAAGATGAAAATTATCAAACTAAATATATTTTAAAAAAATGTGCCATTTCCCTATTCAGTTTCTCTCGGTTTCTACTGATTTCATACAATAAATAATGTATGTAACTACGAAGCTTGACATTAAAATTTCAGAGCAGTTTTTCTTTAAATATTTTAGCTGATGACCTAAAATATAATAATATTTGAGCCTTCAATGGCATTTTACATACTATGGTTTTACTCATCATCATTGTGCAGTTTTTTTATTTAAATGCCATTAATACGGTGCCCCATAATATAAAAATAAAACAACAAGATGTTGAAGTTCATACTTAAATTTATTTGTAAATATTACAATAACTTTATGCAACTTCTTACTAATTTTAGTACACACAAATAGCAATTTCACAAAATTATCACGGAAATTCATTTACAGTCTTACAAATTAGCTCTATGAATTAATAAAAATAAGCCAATATTGTTACAATTATAATAAAACTTAAACATAAATAAACCTGGCTTGGTTAAAGAATATCATTCTTTTTTCACTTATTAATCAAAGGTGTCAATATGCAAGATAAATTCTGGAAGATGTCAAAAAAAATAACAATATTGTTTAAGTGATAACTCCTAATTCTTCCATTGTATCGAGATCACGCATCAGCATCTGAATAGTTTGTTTAGTGCGAGGGAAGTAATCCGCCGTTTCGTCGTCTTCGAACGATGGATCTTGAGACTCCAGTTCTAAAAAATAATAATTACTTTTATAAAATAAGGATGCATAAACCGTAGTTATTAAAAAAATATTATTTAGAGCCTGAAGAATCATCGCTATATTTATGGGGCATTGGTAAAACAACCATATTTTTTTTACATGTATATAAAATAAAAAAAGTTGTGTACACTCCGATTATGTGCCCATTTCTGTAAGAGGTGTAACAGTGCAGTTTAATCCTGATTTGAAGCCGACCCGGATGTGGGTGTAGGGCGCCGAAACCAGATTAAAAAAAGGAACTTCGGAGAAATTATATAAAATTCATACACATGGCTATGATGGGATGGATGCGTATGTTTTCAAAATCCATAAAAGAAAAAAATCGTAGCTGTGGAAGGGCGCAATATGAAATTTCTGCCCCGGTTTCCTATTTTATAGAGTAAGGGCAAGGGCGCTTGTGCACTACACTGAATTTTCATGTCCGGCGGTCCGATTTTTTCAGGTCCGATATGTCAGGCCATATGTAGGTAATGCGCGCTTGTGCACTGCCAGGAATTTTACCGTCCGGAATTTTACTTTTCTCTATTCCGGACCGGTTTTTTCAGGTCCGTGATGGCGGCAATGAAAAACGTGTTTACGCTTGTGCACTGCTGTGTCCGAGATCCGGAAAATTCATAAGGAATAGGCTTGGGAAAAAATAATCGATTTGAATCGATATTTATTTCGGCAATATTGTTAATTTCCAATAAACTTATAATCGATATTTATTGTTAATTATAAAATGGTATATTTTATATGATGATTTAATATAGTTGGTATATATCACTGCATAAGCTTTGGCAAACTCGGTATAGTTCTAATTTGATCAGCGTATGGTTCTAGTATCGATACTTAGCTAGATTTTAGAATCGTATTTAAAGTATCGATAGCTTAAGGTAAGATAAATAAGTGTTGTTACGCTTAGACGCCTAAATAACTGAACCCATGTAAATGGAAATTAATATAGTAAATAGACTTAACTTTAAGAAAGGTCATAGGCTACATTTTATCGCGAAAAATAGGGATGAAAGTTTGCCTGGAAATTTGTCATTATCAATTTTTTTTTAGACAATTGATAAGTATACATAAATATTTGACAACAGAAGTAATAATAAAGAATAAACAGAAGATTAACAAAAGTAATTAAGTGACACTCAATGTCTTTTTCGCATTTAATAAAATTTTAAATGTATGTTTGTGCCATTAAAAAATTTAAAAAAAAAGTATTCTAAGGGGATTATATTTCTGCTCAAAGTAACTACACCACGCGTATAAAATTATGACTATATATAATAAAGTCAACTGATCTCGTAAAGTTCATTTAGCATAATAATTATCCGCTAACACGGCACTAATTTCGATTTGTTTACGAAATGACGCCACCGATTGGTCTATCTCTGTAATCGCAGAAAGTTGTTTTTACAAAACTTCGAAAAAAAAATAACACGTTTAAAAATTTAAACATCAAGTACTAGACCATTATCAGTAATTTTATTCTAATGTCACAGATATTTTTAGCTATTGTATGTGAATAATGCTGTTCCTAAATTAGTAAGAGTATAAGATTTTACATCTGATAGTAGTCATCCGATAGTAGTAAAAAAAATGCTTTCGTCTTGCCATAATTTATTATGGTTTATGTAAAACGATCAGATCATTATTTAGGCACCTTTCTACGTCTTCGAAAGGAATTACCGACGTTCCAAAAATCTCATCGTACCTAGCGTAAGTGACGTGTAGTTTCAAAGAGAACTGCCCTACACTGCGCCGCTCCGATCAGGAAAAAAACGGACAAGTGCACAAGCTACTCATCCGAGTTTTTCATGTCATTCCGGACCGGAAAAAATCGGACCGCCGGACCTGAAAATTCAGTGTAGTGCACAAGCGCCCTATGACTGGCGCATTTGTGTAAAAGTCAAAATAAATATCCTAATTAGTTACAACTACAGTCAACAGCGCGGCACACCGCCGAATTAAGAGAGATTGAGAGAAAAAATTTTAAACAGATATTTTTGTACAGCAAGAAATAATATTATTTCGTGTCCGCCAGTCTTAACAGCACCGCCCCCTTGGATTTCGAAATGAGCTCTTGATCCATCTACTCCCTTATCTATCACTGTTACGAAATCAAAATCCAAGAAGGTGGCGCTGCAAAACTGACGGACACTATTATTTCACGAACACGATTCTTTAGAGTCATGCAAGCATTTCGGAAATATACGAAAATTTCGTATTCGGATAAATTGAAAGTTTCTTAGGTCTCATCTAAATTCGGATAAATTGGAAATGCCTCAGGTGTCATCTTAATTCGTACGAGTCGTTAGGGGCCGTCCGTAAATTACGTCACACTAAATTCATGAACTTTAACCCCCCCCCCCCCCCCCCCCCTCCTTTCACCTATTTATCTATACAAATTTTACTAAATATTGCTCTAATGTAACAGTTCGTCGACACCCTCCCCCCCTCCTAAAGTGTGACGTAATTTATGGATGACCCCTTATGTATATTTAATTGGGCATGTGTCTCAGTCAGAATTCCTCCTTAACCATCCATAAGAGTCTGAGCCCCTGCTGTGGGGACGTAAAAGGGCTGCCTATGATGATGTGTCTCGATAGTACTGGGTAGTGTACTGTACCAGCGACTTGCGCCTCTATGGAGTCGAGCCTGGCGTCTATAACCGCCTGGCAGCGCTGTATGTGCCGCAGCAGCCGCTCGCGACACGCGCTGTTCTCGATGGCCGCCTCCGGCTGCGGCGCCGATACACGTTGCACCTCTTCTGTACTCACACATATATGTTTGTTTATATGGACGCTGGAAAGGAAACACGTAGTAACCCGCAAAACCAAAATTGTTCTTCAGAGCAGAGAGACTTTTATTTTTTCCGATAGACAATTTCTATAAGCGTCCATGGTAACAAAAAAGGTGTTCCTTAGTCAATTTTTTTTTTTCCACTTTAAATATCCATTTTGGTCCAGCGTCGAAATAATTAGCTCACAAAACATGTTACAGTGTATACTCCGATGCTGGAAAGCAAACACGTAGTGACCTGCAAAACCAAAATTGTTCTTCACAGCAGAAAAACTTTTTTTTTCTTTAATAATAGTTCTTATAAACTTCCAGTTGTCCATGGTAATAAATAATGTGTTTCAAAGTCAATTTATACCGAAATGAGTATTTTTTTTTATATTTATGTATATATATATTCACTTTAAAAAACCAAAATGGATATTTAGAGTGAAAAATCTTTATATTTTTCAAAAAAAATATCTTTATCGGTTATGGGAATTATTTATCGAAAAAATGAAAGTTTTTCTGGAGAACGAATTCGGTTTTGCTGGTTACTACGTGTTTGCTTTCCAGCGTCGTTTATGTTACGCTCAAAGATCGAAATCGCTAGTGAGCGAAAAAATACTTCATGACGCGTTGTAGTCACAGTAAAAGATCCACATAGCGAAATTTGTGTTATGGCTTTCACGGAAATGCACGCGACGCGTTGTGGCATTCACGGAATAACCACAATAACAAATCCGTGTCTTCGCTGACATGCTATTCGACCACAACGGGTTGCGGCAATGATGAAAAGCCACAACGCGTTCTGAGCATTAATTGGTTTATATATATATATATATTAGTGGACCCGGCAAAATTTATTTCGCCCGAGAAATCTATACTTTATACCTATTATAAAGTGGAAAGATTTGATTGTTTCTATGTTTGTTTGTTTGCTCCGTAATTAGTGGATCGATTTTAAAAATTCTTTCTCCTACGGGAAGCTACATCATTTGCTATTTTTATCCCGAAAAACAGCAAATTAAGGGATAAAAAGTTTGTATAGGAAATTAAAACATTGCCATAGTAACAATTCTTTACTATTCAATTTGTCATTGTAATTCTATACGTGTCATAACATGAATCCATATCTGAATAAACAGTTCCACATGGACGAAAAGGAAAGGTGATTTCCGCTGGCGGAAAGCTAGTTTGAATATAAAAATTATGTACTATAGACAAAATTCCTAGACCTGTCATTTGCGTTTTATTATGACAAATCACTATTATCACTAATTATTTGTTTTTTATTATGATTTTTTTTTATTAATAAAATATAATATTTATACACACATTTCGAGTGGACCAACCAATATTACCTTGTACAGTTTTGGCTAACCGCTCGAGCTCTGTAGCACTGAGAGGCAGTGGGAGGTCCAGCGAGCCACCACTGGGACTTGACAGCAAACCACTCAGTAAAGTCTGCGAACCCATCTGACTGTCCCTGTGATTATACCTAGTTGATTACAAAACAAACAAATACATATCAGCACTATGCATAGACCAAATAGAAATCATTTCCTACATTGACTCAGACGGCAATCAGCTAAGGTTTTAATTTAGCTAATTTTTCCGTAATAATCGCATCTCGATAGAGTTTCAACTACTTGCATTTGCCAATTGCACTATCTACCTGAAGTCTAATATTATTATATATGTCGCATCATCTTTACGAAGATCGTTTGATTTAGTTTCTTTTATTTTAATTGCTAGTTACTCGATTACTCAATTACTCGATTGTAAAGAGAGCGTGATCATCGATACCCTTAATTTTATTAGAATGGTGACACTGCCTTTGACAGATCGTTAATAAAAAGCAAGTTGCCGCCATTTTGGCACACATTCTGTTTCCGATCGAGGAGTAAAGACATCCGACGACATCACGCTCATCTCATTATATTTTCGTATGAAAAGTGATAAAATGGAACAAATTCACGTTGGCATACACGCCTGCAGTGTTATTTTAAAGATAGTCCTCCGATATGGACCATCTATTTGGGCTTCGTAAAAGCCCCTTCTGACTACCCGCCGACATATATCTGTCACCATTGATGTGTGAAGGAATCTAATAATATTCAACTTCAGGTAGATAGTACAATGGCAAAAAGAAATTTGTTACGTAAACATAAGCAAAATTGGCACGAAATATTAGACACCTTGTGTAATAAAAAAAATATAAAAATAAAAGACTTCAGAAAAATGAAAACTAATACTCATTTGAAAGGGGTTCATCAAAAGTCGCGCTGAGATTTTGTTTAGGCTTTATAATATTAACCGCACGCCTCCAATAGAATTTTAGGTTTAAAGAACTTTAATTTTCAAGCTTTTAAGTTGGTTTTTATTTTAAAATATATATTGTTTTCATATAAGGATTGGTGCACATCACATCTAGCTGAAAATACGCCGAGTTTATCTGCGAAATTAATTAGTACGCTCAACCGGCTGATGGATTGATTAACAGTTCATTGAGCTAATATGTCTGGATAAAAAAATATCTATTTAGTCCGTCATCCTTCGTTACGTATTTAGATCATAGAACAATATTCGAATCGTATTTTTTTACTTAAATTTAACAAGAAATTGCTTAGATATTAGGCATTAGACGAGTAGAGGCTCACTACTTCACAACTATGTAGAAAATGTACAAAGGTGTGACATCATGCCACATTTCAACTCAATGTATTGCCGTTATTTATAAATTACGCAAAAAAATACTTTTTTATTGTTTTTAAAATTAATATCCACCCGACGAATGACAAAAATTAGTTATCCCTTTCTAAGGTAAAGCAATTTTAGGAAATATACGTTTAATATCGCAATCGCTCGATTTGATTTGAATCGATTTGAATGATCAAGCAACATAATAAAAACTAAGCTTCGAAAGATTACTCAAGCATTCACCTATTTCGTTTTAAATTTCTTAATAGCTTTCAAAGTAAAATTTGCGTCTAACGCTTGCCTTTGATAATTCCAATTAACGATATCGCTCATTCCATACTTAGAATGTAGAAAATGAACTTTTCTATTTGTCTCGGACCTAGGTGTTGTGTTACCTTCGTTGTCTCAGATACTCCATAATAAAGGGGCTTTAGCTACTCATCTTGGAATCTGAGCAATGTATATTTATTTATTTATTTCAAAAAACATCGTTATCAAATATGTAGTTGTAGCTGATTTTACGCGACGAATGTTCCGTCTGATATGCACCGACCCTTACATTATTTACCTGTCATGGTCCTCGGAAGGCGGAGTTTGTATATCGTTCTGAGTATCCTTCAGGTCCTGTTGACTGACCGGCAGATTCTCCTTGCCGATGCTGCTTATCATTATATTCAAATCTGAGTAGTCCGAGTTAAACCTGTCCTGCGAGACGTTCAACTCTCCGTTCTCCCAGTCTTTCGCCCATAGATATAACTTCGGATGATCTTTTTTACTGGAAAACATAAAATATAACTTCATTAACATATGTTGTGATGACAAATGGTAAAAAACTACAATAGACCCGCATGTGATGAAGCATTCTTAAGGGGAGATTGTCTAACTTTTTGAGTTATTCCTTCCTTTCGTAAAATTTCAGCCTTTGTTTGAAAAGCTTTAAATATTTCATTTATTTGTTGAACTTTATTAAAGGTGAACTTAATGCTAAAAGCGTTCTCTCTCTCAACCTCTGGGATTCATTTAATCTACATTAAAATACAGCAAAGGGCGGACTATATGCCACCAGCATTCTCTACAGTCAACCAATAAAGCTATCTAACAGAAATAATAATAATAATAACTTTATTGTCATATAAATATACATCATCAAGGCAGTGTGAAGTCTCTGACCTCTGTGCTAGGTATAACCTGAGTGACAGAAGTCAGCGCCCTCTTCCATATTACTAGTAACTAATAATTAATATTAACGATAAGATACAATATGTTACTTAGTCTAATCCAGTACAATAATAGTCATGTAAAGTTTTATTATTTAAATTTGAATTGACATTTAAATTTTATTTTAATTTTAATTTATTGATAATAACATATAAGCTGATTATTTTTGACATTGGATATATAATAATTAACTTTTGAATTTAATTTGTTATTTGTTGTTTTGCAATGTGTATCACTGTTGTATTTTTGTAGTATAATATATTTGTGTTGTATAATTGTATTGTATTGTATATAATTATAATTGTATTGTAGCTAAATAAATATTGAAATGTAAACGCATATGGATATCTTAATACAAATGCTGTGCATGTCTGTAATTGTCATAAATGCTAGATAAGTGTCATTTAAAAGGTTTACTGATTATTTTTGTATTTGTGATGTTGACGTGCCTTGAGTAAATAAATAAATAAAGGAAATCATGTGTGGTGAATAACACGACGTATTAGTGATAGCATTGAAACAATAGACTTTAGTGCATGGAGGGAAGGGTTAAAATACTTTGACTGTTGAATATGGATTCCGTTTGATCATAGCTCATGGCGAGTAGCCATTTCTTTATTTTTGTTTTGGCTTTGTTAAGAGATAGCTGTTTGGCGACACACGAAAGCCGTAAAAGCATAGAAAGCATCACGGGGCCAAAGAACACTTAAACCATTTGGGTTTGTGTCAGGGTAAGGAGTGATAATTATCATTGATATTTATAGCGATAATTATCTTGATAAATATGCCTTCGTATTATAAAAACTACACAAACCCTTTTTGTACTTAAAGAGTTGTTATTCATTATTAAAGACCTATCAAATGTGTGTTTTATTATAGAGATTGTCTAGAATAGACTATAAAAATAAATTAAAGCCCCTTTTTATTTAAAAAATAATTCAATTTCACTTATTGTTCAATGTTTTTTCACAGTAAGTGTTAGTTTATTTATTTGTATAAGTCAAAACGTTAAAAAGCTTTAATATAATCCACAGTATGTCAATGTATGTGCATTTTTTTGGGCACAGCTCTATACAAATTCCGGCCATGTATGTCATTTGCTTCATTTATGAATGCCTTTCTGTATTTAAAAAAATGTTGCCAGTAACTACGCATAATTATCAGATAATTAAGCAAACAATAATTATATTGATAATTAGGTTTGTGCCTGATCCTGGTTTGTGTATGATACATTACAATCATGTAGTCCATATAAACAGATAACATTAAACGGTCGTTTTCAATTACAGAAACATATTATCCTGTTGATTTTTGATTACTTTTTACCACAGAATATTAAAACAAAAAGTAAGGAAATCTACAACAGAACTGGCACGTTTTTGTATTAGCATATACTTACTAGTAAAACTATTCTTTAAGGTTACATATAATTCAGCAATGCTGAGATAAGAAATATGCTTTTAATTTATATTTAATATTATCACATATGGAAGTAGGTAAATAATTAATCAGTCGTAGAATTATGAATGCGCTCGTCCGCTCAACATAGTATTATTTTGCTTATTCAATAACTAGTTAATGATGTACTGTTCGATGTATAAATAAAAATAGAATGATTTATTTCTACTTGTAACTAGTTGTTGAAAATTTGTTCTTTTAAAAGGCAAAAATTAATTTTATCGTACACTGGTAAAGTATTACAATATATGTTAACATCACACGCGTTCTTTTAAATACCGACTGGACTTTGCATTCGGTACTATTAGCCACTGTAATCTAATTTGAAATCTGTATACAATGGGGATGATAACTCATTTTTTTTATCTGTCCGCAAAACTATAGAAGAATATTAAACACATTTTTTTTTGCGTAATCAATTATTACATTTTCTACAAAACTGTGACGTAGTGAGCCCCCACTCCTCAACTCTAACGCTTATTATCTAAGCCATTTCTTGTATAAATTGATGCAAAAAAATATACGTATCAAATATTTTTATATTATCCAACAGACGGAGTAGATAGAATTCTTTTGTTTCACCCAGTCGCCATGTATAGGGCTCAGCGGTGCGATACTCACGTGGCCACGTAGTACTTGACCCGGAGCGCGTGTAACGCGTCCTGGATCCGCAGCAGGTTGCCGGAGAGCTCGTGGGAGCGCCGCAGCGACTCGCTGGGCCGCGCGCCCGGCAACAGGCCCTCGTACAGGCGGTCCTGGTCGTGGAGGAAACGCTGCGACCGACGACCGCGACGAGGATTCAGGCATATACTGCACGTGTACTTCTCCGGCACCTAACCGAAAGGCATATCATTTAAAAATTTTATTTTATAGATAAGATAAGATAAAAACACTTTATTGTACAACACACAACAGAAATAAATAACGAGTAACTTACAAATATTAAAACTATTGCACAATAGGCGGCCTTATCGCTTAACAGCGATTTCTTCCAGGCAACCTATATAGATATTCGCGTTGTGAATGACAATGTCACTAACCGAAAACGACGTATTTTTTACTTAAGGCAACATTTTTCCTTGATAAATATAAACTTTAAAATTCAAAGATCCCTGTGAACGTAGCTTGCATAAAAACTGCTGGGTGGCGTAGTTGTTTAGAGGGGCGGAATACAATTTCTTGAACTTTAAACGCTAATTACCGAAAATCGCAATTTTTGCATTGTGTAACTATCGTTCTCAACGTACGAATATCTAAAAATATTTAAAATTGTACCTATCATACATATCATAGCTTAAAATCTATAAATTAATTCAATTTTAGAAATTTCTCCCGAAAACGCCCCTTCTGTCATGACTTCGCTATGATGTGACGCCATAAGGTTGAATTTTCTAAGTTATTATGGAGCGCAAGAAGAGATCGTATTGAATAAGGGTGTAGACAGTAAACGAAAATAAATTATCCCCCCCTCTCTCAGAGAGGATACTGATAAGTAAGAGGAGGGGGTATCAGAGAGGGGGGGATACTGATAAGTAAGAGGAGGGGGGTATCAGAGAGGGGGGGATAATTTATTTTCGTTTACTGTCTACACCCTTATTCAATACGATCTCTTCTTGCGCTCCATAATGTTATACATTGTGGCGTAATAAAGAAGAAAGGTATCATGGACCCCGTCGGGCACGGCGATTAAGAGTATATGACGCATATTAAAAAAAAAAGTATAATGATCGTTCTCTCGTATTAAAAATGTTGACGTTTAGTTTATTGAAATGTGACGTCACAAGATGCTCCGTCATGGCCGCCCGCGTTTCAGTTTTTGTAATACACAGATTATAAATGTCAAGTTAATATTGCAAAAATAAAATATACATACAATTTATTTTAAAACACAGAATATAAATTAGAAGTTCATAATTTATTTATTGTTATAACTGTCAAGTAGCAAATTATAATGGCAAATGTAAACTAATTTGGCATTAGCAATTTTAATTAATAAATGAATGATTTCTAATTCAAGTAAAACTGAACGCTCGATTCTGGTTCAACTTCACCGTAGCTCAACTTTGCCTCGCAGAACAGCTTTATCGTTTTAGTAGTAATTGAGCAGCAGCCAAGCGAAGCAAACATGTGTCCACTTCACTGGGCATCGACTCGTGAGCAACCTCGCAATTTATATACATGATTTCAATGTATTTGTATAAGTCTGCCTCGCGAGGCTGCTCATTCAGTCACGACGCTTCTAAAAATGAAACTAGGAGAAACAAATCTCCGTAGTACATAGAATAGGTAAACTAAGAATAAATGTCTTAAATTTTTAGGCAAAATTATATCATTTAGAAATAGAACTTTACGAAGTTTGTAAACGCAATTGGACAACTCTAAGAAAATGCACTTTTAATAAGAACACAGTTAATACATACCTCTGATTCTTTTTGTATGTTGTGACAAAGCGCATGTTGCCAACACAGACAAAGTTCGCACTGAACCATCAGACCATCCTCCTCGCGGAAGCCACAGTGACAATTTATAATTTCCTCGCGTTTCATATGTACTATTTTAATTCGCTCACCATCTAAAAATAAAATATCATAAGTCTTCATAAATAATAATAATAATAATATTCTTAATTGCACGCTAGACAGGACATAATACAGACCCGGATAGAAAAAAGAGAAAGATTACAAAGACGTACATGTATATTATATTTTTATGGAAACGTACATGTATATTTTTATGGAATAAATGAAGTTTTTTATTGAAAATGCGCTTACTTTCAGTATACATATAGTTGTGAGCTTCTTTTTGTTCTTCATTAGATTCAGAAGATACCGGAAGCATTTTTTGGTCCAAACTCTTGGAATCTGGCGTTCCAGACCTCGGAAAGCTGGAACGCGTCTCAAAATCTGACCAATCGTCTTCGCTAGTAAACTTCGATGAGATGTATTTCTTATATTTATTCTTAGGTATTGCATCCAAAGGTTTTGTCACAGTATGAGTCGATATTGCTGTTTCGAAATCCAACGCTTCCATCACCGGTACTTCTACAACTGCTTCAGTAGGCAGATCGGAATTTGAATCAGTCTGACTACTGGTTTGGTCGAACTCAGGATCTGGTCGACGTACTGGCAACAACACCCGAGGTCTTTTGACGGGCTTGTTAATAAGAGCATGCCGAAGTTTAGGTGAATCTTGTATCTTCGGTGCAGTTGTTTCAATGTCAACGGCTGATAGTATCTGATCTTGCAATTCAAACTTCTCTGAAGCTTTGTCTTCTTGTTTCGTATCATCCACCCGCTTCGGTGGCCTCGATATTTTGACCTTAATAGATTTTACATTTGGGTCTTTATTCTTAGTATTCTTTATAGACGTGGGCACTGTTCTAGCGTATGCCAAATCCAAAACTTTAGGTGTGCGTCCAAGCATTTTTCTCAAATCTCTATGATAATGTTTGATATGCATTTTTAGTAAAGTATTATTTCTAAAATTCTTGAAACAACCCTCGGCAGGACAACGAAGAAGATTGTCGATAACTTGCACTTTCAATGAACCAACATAAACTGAAATAATAATTATGTTACATAATATTTATACTGTATTTCTTATGAACTGTACTCATTAATTTACCATACATACCAAACCCGTCTTCTAATGGCGGATCTCCAAAACTAGACTCAGGTGGTAGTGAGGATTCTGGCTCTGTACCATTTACTTCTGAATCGACATTCGATGTCTGCAAACAGTTATCGACATTGGTCACTCTTTAGAGCTCAAGATATCTCGTGTAGAAACATAACTAACATTATTAGACGTCGGACAAGTTATTTGACTTAGTTATAAGTCAATTCTGAGTCTATCAGAAGAAACATACCAAATATTTAGGCATCCTCACAGTCGTGCTGAGTTTTTTCTTCTTCCCTGTTTCCTTTCGTACTTTTTTCAAAGTAAGTTTCCGTCGTTTCACAAGAGGCGAAGTACTACATAGAGTACCCGCGGGCAGGGAAATTACAGGTGTGTCATCTACACCGCCTTTTATAATAATACAAAATGCTTTAGTTCTATCATATAATTAGTTATTTCTAATAAACAATACGAATTTTGATGTTGATTTATTAAAATTTTAGTCTTAATTGTTAAAAATAAATTATAAAAGGACACGATAACAGAATACAGAAGAAGAATAATAAACCACAATGCAATATCAGAATTTAATAGGGAAGAAGGTATTTCAATATGTTTCTGATCCAACATAGATAAAGCTTTAGTTCTCTCTTAAATCCAGCCGGCCTAACATGAATGTTCTTTTGGACATTCAATATGCGAGTGTTACTGTCCCGCTCACATTTCAGCGCCGTAAGCGATACAGCATTATGTGCTTTACCATAATCATATATTTATCGCGTAATATGCCGCATTCTTGCTATAGGAGTATAGACTCGGTTTTAAATATGGCAAGCAAAATGAAAATAAAAAAATAACACAATCTTGTTTAGTTTAGCTTAACAAATTAAGTTATCTCTTACTTGGTGTGGTTTTGACCCATCCCATTCGTCGCGCTAATTTTAAATGCACACCAAAGTCCATCAGCGCATGTTCATATTCTCGGAGAATATCACTGGGATTACTTTCCATAAAATTCCTCATATCTGTCTTCGTGTGAAACCTCCGGTTTTCTGGACTATTAGGTCAATTCACAATTACCATAATATATATTACATTAGGTATTTGTAAGTAAATAATTAATAATCTTTACCTGATCAAAACAACATCCCATTTGCCTGCAGAGTTGCCCATGCTTCGTCGAACCATATGTTTAGTCCACCCTGGTGGTAATCTTTTATCTTCAACCTTTGTAAAAAAACATTACAGAAAATGATTCGGTATTGTTTATGTTTAATACATATCCCGCCGAACCCAAATAAATAATTTAAAGAAAATCAAAAATCGAAGCCCATTCAAATCTTCCCAAGGGGCCCCGACTATGAGTCGTTCTGTTCTGTATTATTTAACAGAATTCTTAACTACTGGGCTTGTTTCCTTCTTTTTAGTTTTTATTTAAGTTAATTCTTTCATGTTTTTTTTTTAAAAATTCGGTTCTACGCAGTCGGGATTTTTGTTTTTCTTTAAATTATTTATTTTTATTTTATACTTTTTAGTTCCGATTCGTTGACTTCGTTATAAGATGGTAAATTTCGCAATCAAGTTATTTCATTGAGGGAGTTAATATCGTGGCGATTATTTAGTAACTTGCGGTGCTCTAAACTACTGATGATTAGTCCCTCTAGAGACCTAACTCGGCTCAAAGCTACATATGCTTTATTTTTTTGACGTGGATACGTCTATGTTTTCGTTCTACAGGGGGGTCATTCTGTGAGCAGGAGTATATGCACTAACGCCATCTATTGGCGTATAAGTGAACTATGCTTGCTCTGCAGGGGGAGGGACATTCTGTCAGCAGGAGTATATGCACTAGCGCCATCTGTTGGCGCTAGTGAATACTTTTTCATTCAATAAATGAACGCAACGAATATTTATTTATTTAGTGTCTTCAATTTGTTTATTTATTTATTTTTTTAATTATTCATTTATAAATGCAATTATGCCACAACGTTGCATAATTCCGGGTTGTTTTTTATCAATTACTCATATATCCACTCATACATAGACGTATCTAGAGACCCAATGGGATGGTGTGCATCGCTGATGATATTTCAATAATTCTGACATCTAATAATATTACTAATTTTAAAAATGAAATTAATGATACAGTTAAATCAATAATGCAATGGTTTCAAGCTAATAATTTAATGGTCAATTTGAGTAAGACATGTTTCATGCAATTCCAAAGCTATGGTTCTAGAATTAATCAAATACAAGTCAACTATAATGGTACTGATATAAAAGAAACTGATAAGGTTACGTTTTTAGGGATAACATTAGATAAATATTGTAATTGGAAAGCTCATATTGACACCGTCTGTAAAAAGATTAACAAATTCGTATATGTATTAAATAAGTTAAGAAAGACATCTACTCAACATACAGTGTTACTGGCCTACCATGGTTATGTAAGTTCCATATTACGATATGGCTTATTACTATGGGGAAATTCTACCGATTCTGTTCGGGCTTTTTTGTCTCAGAAAAAATGTATAAGATATATACATTTTTATAAGATATATAATGTATAAGATATATACATTTCATATGGAGGAATACCCACTATAGCAGTGGGTATTCCTCCATATGAATCTTGTAAAGAATATTTTAAAGTACTTAATATATTACCGCTACCATGTATGTATATTTTTGAAATTTGTATTTTTGTAAAAGGTCACCCTGAACTGTTTATAAGAGCAAAAGATTTGTATCCACGTAATACAAGAAATAGTAACAGATTGGTTCTAGATTTCATGCCGAAAACAGAATTGTTTAAAAGAAACTGTTATGCAATGTGTATAAAGATCTTTAATAAATTACCAATTTCTATTCAAGAGTTACCTATATTGCAATTTAAGAAAAAACTTAAAATGTGGTTATTAGATAAATTGTTGTAAACCTAATTAATTAGTACAGATATATAAACAGCATTGGCACAAACCTTCGTGGTTTATAAATGCTGTAAAAAAACTTAAAAAGTGTAACTATGTTTAATTATGTAATGTAAATAAAAAAAATAAAAAATAAAAAAAAGATAATATGATATATTCGATACACAACTGGATAAACGACAATAATTTATAAAATATAGGAACTCGAGTATGACAATGATAATAATGTTTAAAATAATTAATTAACAATAAAGATGACATGTAAACAATAATAAATAATGTGACATAGGATATTGACTTATAATTAATTAAATGTAATTGTAACAGTGATGAAAAAATTTATTTAACTCAATATTTGCATGCTATTTCTATATGGCTAAATAGGTTTTAAGTTCTTATTTTATTTTAATTAATTACTATCAAATTGTACCCTATTTAAAGGCAAATAAATGATTATTATTATTATTATTATTATTATTATGTATCCACGCATAAAATATGGCTGTATCAATGATACAGCCAACCAGTGTCTTTTTATACTTGGAATTTTACAGAATCTAACAATTTTGCCGGGACATATTTGTTTTTTTCGGGACTCTGAACATCATACGAAATGTCTGGACAATCCAGACGAATCCCGACCATCTGGCAACCCTAACCACAGGTTAGGAAACACTGTCCTTTATGGGTACCACAACCGTCTATGAACTATTAATAAAAATATTTGTTCTTCATGCTTTTTCAGTTTTTTTTTTTTTTGTATATTGTTTATACTTTAAATAAAAACTTTAATCAATAAGTAAGAAAATTAGCGAGAATGTTTTGTTAAACAACTTTAAATCGTTATATATCCTAAACTATTATTTATTTAAATGAAAAATGATAAAAGGAACCTAAAGATTTCAACGACACCCCACTTGACATAGTTCATTGATTTTTATTTTTTTCATTTAGATAATATGGCGTCTGATTGTCGCTGTGGTGAATTTTGATAACTGTCATGTCTTTAGTGACATTCGCAAGGTTAAGACGAATCGCTTGACATAAGAATCATCATAGAAACAAACATACATACATAGACTGATAAGCACATTACCCTCCTTTGCGTCGCACAGTCGGGTAAAATGGGCAACTAAATGAATCAGAATTGTTTAAGTAGTTCTTTAGTATCCAGATAAAAATGTATATCCAGATAATAAGATCAATGTAGATATAAAGGTATAAAATTCTTACATTACTGAGTGACTGACTGACTAACAACGTACAGCCGAAACTACTAAGCGTAGAAAGTTAAAATTTGGAATAAAGATTCCTTAGAGAGTGTAGAGGAGCACTAAGAGATTTTTTAAAATTCCACGACATAAGAGCTAAAGAAGGGGATGATAAGTTTGTATGAAACTTCGTTACTACAAGTGCTAGGAGATTCAAATTTTGCATGTGGGTTCTTTTTAACACGTAGGTGCTCCTATGACGGGATATTAAGAAATTCGACCCTTAAGGGGGTAAATTAGGGGATGGAAGTTCTTTTGGAATTTTCTTATTACAAAGTCGCAAACAAATGCTAGTAGTTTTATAAATACATTGAATAGCAGATAAACGTTAAGATTAAAGAAAATATATCGTAATTCCAGCTCTACTGCTACTTACCAACACGATCAATACTAAGACATGCATCCTGAAATTTTATTTTTAAGACTTAATCTCACCTATATAAGCACCGCGAGCCGCGATCGTTAAGCAACTTTTACAAGGGTCAGTCACGGGATGGATGGCCAAAAAAATATTATCTCGAGCTACTTCAGAAGGCGTTCAGTTCATTCAGACGTTAATACCCTCCAATCAGAATTGGGCTAGCGTGGAGGGTCACGGGCCATCCTCCTTAACTCAAGGAAGGCTTGAGCCCATACAGTGGGGACGTAAAAGGGCTGATGATGATGATAAATCTTACCTGAACACTTCTCCTAGGCAGGCCAGGCTTGCTGTTCACATCCTTAACTTCGGCTTCTAATTCACTGACTTTGCCAACGGGCTGTCCATTAAGCCACTTGCAGCACCACTCCCCTGGCAACAAAAAACTCTCCGGCATCTCCTGTGGCTCCTTCGCCAGCTCTTCAGTCTTAGCCATCATCTGTTTCCTCATTTCTTCCACCTGCCTCTTCATTTCTTCCAACTCGCTCTTCACTTTCTCCACCTGTTTCTTTACCTTCTTCTCCTGTAACAATCTCAACTTTTTACTTTTCTTTACCTTTGACAACTTCTTAACCTTATCTTTCTCAATTTCCTTATTTCCTGTTTCTAGTGGTAGTGGTTCGGGCTCTTTCTTAGGCACTTCCACTTTTATCTCTAATTTGGGCGAGTTTTGGACTTTATTAATACCATCCTCTAACTTATTAATGACCTCTTTGATCCTGTCTATGACTTCTTCGTGTTTTGTATCGTCCACTTTCTCAAATTTTTCAAGTTTCGCTTCCTCTTCCTGAATCTGTAAAAAGTTAAGAATCAAAATATTTTGCTATGTGTATTAACGATTTTTTGGAGTATTTTTACTTACGGAGTCTTCTATACTAAAGTCATCTTCATTATCACTAACATTTGACGCTCCAGTAGTAGATAATTCCACCTTTTCTTCCTCATCTTCCGTTTTTATCTCATTTATGGTTTCTGTAGGAGTTTCTATTTCTATAATGGCATTTTCTTGGTGTTCTTTATTTCCTGACTCCTTGATTGCTTCATTTTTAACTGTACCAATAATAGATGCCACAGCATCTATCAGAGTTAGAATTTCAAAATACTTCTAATTCTTGTTAATTGAATAAACTAAAAAATGTAACAGAATTTCAAATACAAACTTAAGAAATGTAAACTTACCCGGAATACCTGACTTAACAGTTTCTGTTGATTGTGTTTCTGGTTTCTTTTTGAGAAATGTACGTTTCTTTTTAATCAAAGTTGAATCCCTTGGCGCTTTAGATTGTGAGTCAGATTTTTTCTTTTTTTGTCCAATATTGAAAATTTCTTTAATGTTCAATTTACGTTTCATTTCGCGACGCTCACTTTTAGAACCTAGATAATCACGAGTGGGATCAAACAAATGAGTATGAAAGGGTGTAATATTAGGTAAAGCGCTGCTGGGCCCTGCGCCATATTGAACTGGTGACGCCATGGATGTGGCAGAGGTAGATGTTGTCGTATCGACAGTCAAACCCTCTGTCTTCACCTGATCCTTCATCTTGTATAACCTCGAAGAGGTGCATTTCCATTGAAAGCCATCATCGAATACTATCACATAATGTCCTGTTAATAAAAAAATAAATAATAAAAATAAATAGTACTTAAATTTTTATTCAACATAATATGTATTTTTATTACAAGTATAAGCTTTCAAATTTATTTTAAAGTTGTAACTTACCATCTCCCATGTCTTTATCAATAGTAGCCGTGAAACGTCTATTGTCCCTCCATCTCGCCAAACATCTCTCTCCTACAGTAAACACTAACTTTTTTTCCTCCGTCACTGCCTTTAGTTCCTGTTTTATATTCTTAGTGACTGGGTGTGCGTCACCTATAGATGATGGTACGGGTCCGGACATCGACATTGGTGAATTTGGTACTGAAGTGCCGGTAAGTGGTCGTAATCTAGGACTGCTTACAGCAATCCATTCATCATGTCTGGAAACCAAGGAATTGTGTAGATCTAATCAAATTATTACCACTTTTATGTATTAGGCACAGCAAAAACTTTTTACTAGATTTGCTCAGAGGTCTGATTGGATCATGTATATCTCCCAGAGCAGCAAATAGTAGGAGCAACAACTTAAATTTACTTTTTGAGTTATATTATAGCTATAGCTCTATTATACTAGTTTTATTGTGTGACATATTTAAAAATAACTAAGTACAGAATTCATTCTATTCATGACCGAGCTAGATGGTTGCTTTAATAACTCACCTTTTGGATGAATTTTCATAGTGAACCAAAACTTCCATTTCTTCATAGTCAACTTCCATAATTTTTGCTGGATACCAATCCTCTCCAAAATCTCTAGCTTCGACTTTAGACCCAACTGACAATGCCATACTGTTATTTCCTTAATATTTAAAAAAAGATACAAATTAAACATGTTTTAATCTCATAAAACATGTTACACATAATCTCGATCTTAAACTAGATACTTTGTCAATATTCCTGGATATGAGTAAAGCATTTGATTTTCTTTCACACAAGTTACTCCAACTTAAAATAGATAGATATGGAATAAGGGGCCTTGGAATGGATGAGAAGTTATCTAAGCAACCGCACACAGTGTGTCAAAATATCTAAGATGCAAAGTAATTTTAGGAAATCTTATAATTCTAAATATACACTAAATCATTTTGGCATACCCCAGCGTACTTGGACCAATTTTATTTTTACTATATATCAATGATTTGCTTAGTGTTACTGACCAAAAGTGTATCCTATTTGCAGATGATACAACACTAGTTATCAGAGGTAAGGATTGTGATGATATTGAAAGAGTAGGTAATACTCAATTCAGAAAAGTCACACAATGGCTGGAGAAAACTAACCTAGAAATTGACATTAATAAAACGAAACACTAACAATTTTAAAACTAGAACAACAGATATTCGGCATAATGATAACAAATTGGTAGAAGTAGATGAAACAAATTTCTTAAGGATCACAACAGACAGATTCTGTAATTGGAATGTATGTATAGACGTGATTGCTGCCAAATTGGACAGATTTATATTTGCTCCTAATAGAATTAGACAAGTGGCCTCTAAACAATCCACTCAAATAGCATATCATAGTTACATCTCATATTGCAACACAGATGAGATGTAACTTTTGATATGGGGTAATTCGGTGGATGCTATTCGTGCTTTTAAAATGCAAAAGAAATACAGTCGGTCAGTCTGTGGTGCAAGCTACTTGGACTTATGAAAGCTTTTGTTTAAATCATTAAATGTATTATCACTTCCATGTTTATATATTTTTGAAATAGGGATATTTGTTAAGAATATTTCCATTTATTTAAACAAAATAAATATTTTGTACATAGAGGTAGGAAGGGTACAAATTTATGTATTCCAGTTCAAAGACTCATTGTAAATTTAAAGAACTCATGACTATACACATTTGTAATAAATTACCGAACAATATTAAAAGTAATGATAATTAAAATCAATTGAATAATTATACAAGAAAATTAAAAAAAAATTATAACCCACATATTCTTTCCTTATACAAACACCAATGGATGGCTTGTCCATAGAGTTTATAGTAACATAATTTAGTTAATTTGCATCAGAGTATGGACTACTTTTCTTCTTTTTAATTTATAACCTATTAGTGTTTACACAATCGGCCCATGGGCTACAGTAATTATGCTGTTGTTCATATTTTAGAGTACACCGTATAAAAAGTAAATCAAAACTAATAAGACAGCAATAGTATGGCTCTGATGAGCGAGTCAAAAGGCAGTACCTCAAATATTCTGAGGTACTGCATATTTTCGAGTTTTATTATATAGTTTTGTTTACATAATTGGTTATATAATAATACTAAAATAAAAAACAAAGATAAACTCTTTTGAGACATCACTTTTGGCAAATGTTAACAAAATTTACTTATGAAAATCAATTTCATATTTATATGATTATTATACCTTTGTCTCCTGGGCTTGAATTATTTTTAAGAGATTTTCCCTCTTTCTTCCTAGCTAATCTTTGTTCTGTTTCATCTACTATCATATCCATCATACTCGAAGCTACAGCCAGACGTTCATCAAAATCTTTACCACTGTCAATTTTAACTTTCTCATCAGTCTCAACCTTATTACTCTCCTCAGAACTTGAAGGAACAGGCTCTTGAACTTTATTTGCTTCATCCTCTATAAATTTCTTTATCGCTTCAAGATTATCGCCATCAGGCTGCTTACTATTCTTTGATTCTATTTCTTTCTCTTCTAAAGGAGTTTCCATTTTGGTTTTGATAAATTTATTATCGTCTGATGGCCAAGGAAATATAGATGGCACTGCATCTGAAATTCATTTCTTTATTATTTATTTTAGCATACACTAACTAAGAGAAAAAAAAATACAACTTTCTATTTATAAATGAAAACACATAAATAGCTAACTACTACATACTTGACACTTATGATATAACAATGCCTAATAAAAATAAATGCAACTAATAATGAAATAAAAAAAAATCTTTGGTCTAATAGCAAAGAAACAAAAATAAAATTGAGTTTCCCAGGCCAAAAAAACCAAAACAATCAGCATACAATCAACATCATATGGCAGACCAGTCTACATACAAAGCTAAAGTTTGTAATACCATAATACCTGACTTAAGAACATATTTAGAATCCTTGTATATTTGGAAATCACTTTTACAGAAATGCCGTGAACAAACATAATATGGAGTTAAATCAGTACTATTATTCAATTTAATATGTGTAACATTAATCCAGATTTCATTCAACGAAGCGTCTTTGGGAAACTTGTGATATGTAACGCCAGTGTCTTCACTTCTTGTTGAACATGAACAACAGTTCATAATACTACATCTTTTTACTGCCATCCTAATATTTGAAGATATTATTAATATTTTCTTTATCACAATGCATTAATTGGATGACATTTAAATGTGTGAGCATTTAGTGTTGGTGTCAACCACAATAGCAAATGTTTCATGTGAATATCAATAAACATTTTTGAATATTATCACGAAATTTCCTAACCAGCAGGATAATATGTCATAGTAAATATTTAACCACAAAAGTAAAAATAAATTTCATGAGAATACAAGTTGGTACCTATACAGTTATGGATACTAATAAGAAATTTCCTAACCACGATGACATAATGTCAAAGTTAATAATGAATATCTTCACACATACGCACCTATCTTTACTAGATGAATTCACGATTTTGGGACCATAACTGCACTTCCAAGTTTTGATATTTGCCTTGTGTAGATCATGAACGGTGCTCGGATAACAGCTTTTCACAAAAATTATTAATCTTTTAGCTATATTTTTTTTGTTTATTGTCTCGCCACAGACCAGAGGGGTTCAAAACGACTGTAATTCATTAACGCGCTATAATAGACTAAAGTTATTTTTGTTAACGTGTTAATGAAGGCGCTAATATTAACGCGTTAATTCAAAGAAGCGTAAGAGTGCGTGAAGACTTATTAAATTTTGTAGCACGCTAATCCACAAGGACACAATAATTATTTTATGTTGTACGTTAAATAGATTACGTGCTGTATTAAACAATAACTCATTATTAAATAGTCTCAATAGTTTGAAATAAATAATAGCACTACTTACTAAAGGACATTGCTCAACGTCCATACATTGGTGGCCCCAGAGCCAAAAAAATATAGGAAAATACTTATTTGATTGTGTGTCACTAACTTATTCTCATTATGTATTTATTATACCGCGACCGAGTTTTAGAACTTATTATCACGTAAAATATAATTCATTTTGAGGTTATAATTTGTTTGGAAAACCACCAAGAGATGGCACTCTAAATACATGATATGATATTGATGTCTATATTGTCTAAGCAAAAAAACTCAACTTTAAGAAAGTCGGTTTTTCGTTGTGATTTGTAAAAGTTTCTTAGTCAATCAATAGACAAATAAATCATTATAATAGTTAAATAATATACCAATTGATAAGCTTAAAATTAAAAAACCTATAGCTTTTTGATGGTTTACATCAAAAGATGGCGCCCTAAATACATAAATGACATGATGTTAATATGTTTACGAGAAATATAAAGGTAATGTAATAGAAACAAAGTAGTTTTTAGGGTATGTCGTATGCATATCAATCTTTCTGAATAAACAAGAGTGAATTATCAACAGCTAATGAATTTAGTTTATATAATATTCAGTTTTTATGTCCTTATGTTTTAGTTGGAAAATCACCAAGAGATGGCGCTTTTACTAAATTTAAGTTTATTTTCGGTCAATTTAATTTAATGTATTTGTGTTCGATGATTTAAAGGTCATCTAATAAAAATAAATGATCTTCTTGATCTGACGTGTAAATTACATCCATCTGACTCAATAGAATTTAAGTATATTGAATGTGAATATTTGCGAATAAAAATGTTACTGTTAAAGTACTTTTAAATATTAATTTTGGATCGCAGCTTGTCCGTGTCAAATAAATATTTGATTCCAATCTTATTCTTATATATACGAGGGTCAAACTGAAAGTTCTTAGAAAATCAAAAACTGATTACATTAGCCAGTTATTAGTTTTATTATATCTTTTCAAAATATTGTCCATTCACGTCAATACACCGCTGCATGCGATGGAACCACTGGGAAAAGCACTTTGCCCACTCGTCCTTAGGGGTCTCTTCAATGGCATCGCGATACGCAGCCACCGCTTCTTCAGCATTCATAAACCGCTTTCCTTTAAGTTTTCTTTAATTTTTGGAAATAAATAAAAATCACAAGGCGCGAGGTCGGGGCTATACGGCGGGTGACCCAGTAATTCAACGTTTGATGTCGCCAAATAGTCGATCGTTCGCTTGGCGGTGTGCGACGAGGCGTTGTCGTGGTGAAGGAGGATCCTACTGCGAGGTCGTTTCTCTCGAACTTTTTCCAAGACAAGTGGCAAACAATTGGTAGTGTACCATTCTGCAGAAACTGTTTTTTGATCCTCTAACACAATTGTTGCAAAATGACCTATCCTTCCAAAGAACGAGGCCACCATTTTTTTTCCCGCACTTCGATCTCTCTTCACTTTAGTTGGCAACTCCTCGAAAGGAAACACCCACTGAGCAGATTGTCTTTTGGTTTTAGGATCATAACAGTAAATCCAGCTTTCGTCACCTGTTAGTATGTCGAACACAGCATTTGAGTCACCTCCGTTAAATCTTTCAATCATTTTACGACACCAATCCACACGATGGAGTTTTTGAGCCTCAGTCAAATTATGAGGTATCCACCGGGCGCAAAGCTTCCTGACCGCTAAATGTTCGTGGAGGATTTTGTGCACTTGACTCATACCGATGCCTAAGCTTGTCCGAATCTGTTGATAGGTCACTCTTTTGTCAGTCTCTATCATACGCCGCACAACACAGATGTTATCTTCAGTCGTCGCCGTAGAAGGCCGTCCCTCACGTAAATCATCAGTGAGATTAGTGCGACCACGTTTAAACTCATTAAACCAGTTGTAAACAGTCGCACGAGATGGGGCTTCATCGTGAAAGGCCAATCGTAGTCTATCATAACTTTCTTGTTGACTTAAATGACATCGAAAGTCATAAAAAATCATTGCACGAAAATTTTCTCGTGTTAAATTCATGATGACGTGACACAGACAATTTTCAATTTGCCGCCAAATCGTAAAACAAATGACAAATGAATGAAATATATACTCAGTAATATTGGCAAAGAGTTATATTTTCAAATTTTAGAATTATTTTTTTATTATATTGTTTATAAGTGGCCAGTTCTAAGAACTTTCAGTTTGACCCTCGTATATATAAAAATGAATCGCAAAATGTGTTGGTAAGCGCATAACTCAACAACGCCTCGACCAATTTGGCCAAATCTTTTTTTAAAATGTTCGTTGAAGTTCAAGGATGGTTTTTACGGCGAGAAAAATTAGAATTATTGCTGGAAAAACCCTAAAAATAGCCCTTTTCTTTTTCCCATAAAAATGATTTGTAACTAAAACGTAGTCAATTTGAGCTTTATTGCTATGGTATAAAGTTCATATTAAATTACAAGCACTCACTGTTGTCTAAGCAATGTAGGTGTGTTCCTAACGTCAAAGATCATATCTATCAAAACAATGTGCGTGTGTGCGTTGGAGCACAGAATACATAGTTGGAGGAGTTTAATGTCGCGTTCCGAAACTCGCGTTTCTTTTGTATTAGTTTCGGCACGCGAGATAAAATGCATCAGTTTCCACGTCATTACATCAGTCAAACAAAAATCGCGTTACCAACAGTGTTTTATTATTTTTAATATCCAAATTTTAAATCAATAAAACAATTCGTACGGCTTAAAAAGATTTGACTTCAAGTCATATCAAATTAAAAAAAAAAAATAGTTGTATGTGACCTAATCTACTGAGTTTGCTTTTGTCAACTGATACACGAAACAAATTCGTATATCGTGTTTTGTGCAGAGTGTTTACTAAGTTAGTGTTTGTTTAGTTCGTGATTAGTGAAAAAATAATTTATATTTGAAAAAAACTGCCACATTACAAATCTTTTTGACAGGACGAAGTCTGTCGGGTCAGCTAGTTTAATAAATAAATTAGTAATTATTATTGAAGTATTAATATTTAATGGTATTGGGGCCATTTTCTGCGATGTCCTTTAAAGTAAATCGATAAACTCCCCTTCATACCTTTCAGGCTTAGGACTGCCTATAATTGAATTATAGGCGTATTTAAAAGTTCAATGATTTTATGTACAAGAATCTACTATGTAAATTTGCTATCATATATTTTATTCACATTACTTACAATATAAATGTTTAAACAACCGTTTATTATCTATATACACACACAAACTTCTTTAAATATACACCATGAAGATAAAGTAAAAGAACTGGAGGCCAAACTCAAAACTATTGGTTGAAGCAAAGTTATTTGACCTCTATTGACCTTTCGTTGGACTCCTGGGTGGCTATGTCATAAATCGAAATTTTCCCGGAACCTGTACCTGTCATTGATGTTATTCGATAATTTTATGTTTCATAAACTTTTCGACAATTGGTACTAATAGTATAATTATACACGTCACTGCAAATTAATAAAAATTATTAACTTTTTACCGTCGTTATGTCAATCTCATTAATCAATAATCCAGACTTGCAATTTAATTTGTTGAATTATTATTAAAACCTATAAATTGTTAAATTATATTCCACTATAGACAGTTTCACATAGAATGGACACGATGAAATTTGTTAACAGTTGATGAATAAATATTATTCTCAAATCCTGTTTTATATGTTGATCTCAAAACCGTTTATCTCTATTAGAAATAAACTCAATAACATCGAGTTTTTGTATCTAAAAACTTCAAACCCCAAACATCATCGTACTCATGCTATGTGAATAAGACACCGTATTTTTTTTTCTAAATTTCACCATTGTTGTGGTAAACGGCATCCTCAAAAAATGGCAACCTCGTGTGTCGAAAATTGTGATTCATATATAAACGTTTCTCGCTATCAAATCGTGAAAAATGGTTCAGAAATGTCTTGCGGAAGCAAATGGCATCCTGGATGTTCTTTGATATTTCACAGGTGAGTCGTTAGTTACTATAATTGATGACTGCTTGCATTTTATAAAAATTATGTTTTTAACGTAGAATCCTTCAATTTTTGATAATTTAGAATAATATGGTATCTAAAGTAATATATGATTTAATATATTTAATATATGTTTACAATAGCATATTTCAGAAATTTTCTAATAAAAGCACAGTTCACATTGTAAAATAAAAATAAACAAATACTAATATGGTGACCATGAAAAGAAGATAAAGGATAAACAATAAAACTGAATTTAATATTTTTTATTTCACTTTTAGTTTTCCCAGGGATCTAATAAGGAGAAGTCAATGGGTATCGAGTGTCAAATAAAAAAATAAGTTTTATAAAACTGCAAAAATATACAGTAATCACTTTGTGGCTACTGATTTTATAATAGAGAATTGGTTAAAGCATACAAAAATTCCTTTTTATTCTGATGTGGTAAGTAAAAGTCTATATTCTACTAATTAGGTACTAATTCTTAGGTAGCAAAAATAGAATACAAACTTACGAGTGAGAACGCGAACTTTTGGCTCGACGTCCTGTATTTAAGATGACACACAAGCGAAAAAGGTCGTCGAGCCACAAGTTCACGTTTGGAAGGAATAAAATATTTTTATTTTACTTAATGTAATATGTCATGAAAAAATGGTCTCGAAATATCTTAATTCCCTAATGGCAGGGTTTAGACAAAATAACCATAATTCGTTTTTTTTCCAGTCGGGACAATCTGATCTAAAAAGTGATGCATTTACCATGCCTTCTACACC